GTGACTAGTTGGAAATGTTCCAACATGTGAACGCGAAAATACTGCAATTCGCGGCTTTTGAAGCTGGGGAATAGCAAAACTTTGTTGATTTAGAATATTGCTAGCCTGTGAACCGCTCTTGGAAAATGCAAAACGTAGCATGTGCTGCAAGTTACGCTGTTTGCAACAGGAAACAAGAGGCACAGAGGGCCTGCTGGTTCATTGGTTGATGTTTTGTGTTTTTCTATTGATCCGCTACAGTACGTGAGTTGTTTTGATCCGGCAGCCCGGCTTTTCGTTGTTGGCATTTGCCAGGCGAAACGACTCTTCTTTGAGGACTTAGGGCATTGATATAGTCGTTGTCTGTACATTTTCTTGTGCATTTTTGTTGCCGCTGCCCTCGCAGCATCATGTCTCACTTGTTGCATATCTGTAGTTGTTGGTGCGCATGCATGTATGAATGTATGTATGCATGTGTGTACGTATGTATGGTGCGTGCGTGGCTTGCATTGTTTGAGCGGTGAAGCATGGCCAATGCATGCATGCTAAGCCACGTATGATTTGTGCCCTTGCTTGCGCTCGTAATAATGTACGTATGAATGCACGCCTGTGTCTATACTTATATCCGTATGCATGCAGGTGTTTATGGGTGAGTGGATGGATGGACATGCGATATCCGTCCACATGTACGTACGTATGCACGCACGCATGTATGTATGTTTGATTGTTATTTGTTTGTTTGCTTGTTGTTCTCTGTAGACATATATACGTTTGTATGCATGCATGCATTCAAGCAGGTAAGCATGTGTGCAGGATGCATTTGTGTGTGTGTGTGTGGGTGTGTGTGCGCGTATGCATGTACGCAGGTATGCCGTATGCCTGCGTGCATGTATGCATGCAGACGCGTATGTAGGAAGGTATGTATGTATGCATACATACATACATAAACATAGATGCATACATTTTCACAAACTCAGATGGTTGTTTTTTTCCGCAGATGCTGCTTCTTTTTGATAGCGTTTGTGTCTGAAGCATGTCACCGCCGCACATGCAAAGGTGATATATCAGCTTACTGCGCCCTGAAGCTCTGAAGAGGTTCCAGTGCGGCCTCTGCGTGAGCCGTGCTTCGGCTTGTTCGCCTGGGCAGTGCGGCGTGAAGCGGCCGAGGCTACAACGCAGTTCTCACTCATAGTTTGTAACTGTTCGAGGATACATCGCATGACATAGCTGTGTTCCCACGTATTCACACATGCAATTCTATGCACACACGCACACACATCCATCTGATGATATCTGGGGTTGGAGTTCAAAGCCGGCCTGCTGCTTCTTCCGTCAGATAGGTTGCTGGCCCGATCGAAAACACCTCATACTGTAATTGCGTAGACTGACAGCGACAGTCAAGAAGGCCGCAGGTCAAAGCACACCTGCCTGAGAAGATGCCACGGGGCTTTCGGAATGGCTCGTATTGCAAAGCGGCCCCCCGCGGAGACCGAGTTTTTCTGTGCCAGGCGCTCTTGGCCCATGCTTTTCCCATCGGGGGCCAGGCCTGGCACATCCTGGCGCTGTGAGTGCTCGCTGATGTTCTGGTGTTTTCTTAGTGATGCTGGAGTGCCCGAGTGCCACCCCCCCCCATTTTTGTTGCGGTTCTGGACTTGCTCAGGTAGATCATGCGCTCTCTTCTTGGTTGCTGCGCGAGCGTGGCCGGTGCTTTCAAGTTGAGCCAGGCGTGGATCAGTGTCTTATACCAGTCCGACTGTCCCATTTGTAAGGCCTCGTGTTGACTTGGGATTTGGGAGTATAGGGGGAAAGGCTTGCCTGGTGCATCAGGCAGCATGGTCTGCTTCAGCCCTAAGAGTGAGGAGGCGGAGGATTCCGACATCCAGACCATGGCGACGGCGGCTTATGGGGCTGCTAGTAGACTGTCATCACCGAGATGCTTCAGTCATTCTGGCTTCCAGAGGGTGTGCACAGTTGACGGTTGCCTACTACGAGGGGTCGGCGTTGAAATGTGCATCGATGAGCGGCCACTCTCGGGAAACCGCTTTCAAACAATCACTTCTATTTCTATTTGTGAACGATCCGATGTTTCCAGGTGGAATGAGCGTCTAGATGGGGAACGGCTTGGGGGTTTGCTTGTTCTGCTGCCACTGATGTGCGCGAGCGGCTTGAGGAATCGAGCGTCTAGATGGGGAATGGCTGGTTTTGATGTGTTGTCATGCCACTGATGTGCGTCTCGAGTGGG